GTTTCTGGCCCCATCCCCTAACATGTTGCCTGGGAGCTGGGATGCACAAGCCCTTCCAACTGCTTCTCTTTAAAGGGCTTGCGCCTTCCCCATGGCTGCCAGGAAATACAGCCATAGGGAAGGTGCGAGACTTTTAAAGAGAAGCGGCTGAAAGGGCTTGCACATCCCCAGCTCACAGGCAACCATCTAAAGGCGTGGAAGCTGTGAGCCCTTTCAACTGCTTCTAATTTAAAGGGCTCGTGCCATCCCCATAGCTGTCATGCAACAACCCAGAGGAGGGTGCGAGCCCTTTAAGTGAAAGGGCTCACGTGCCCCCAGCTCCCAGGCAATGCGCTAGCAGCGAAGCCGGGAGCAGTGAGCCCTTTAAACAGCGGGAGTTAAAAGGGCTTACAGCTCCTGCCCCCTGCTAATCAGATGCCTGGGAGCTGCAGGGGAGGCATGAGCCCTTCCAACTCCTACTATTTAAAGGCCCCGCCCCTTCTGGGGTGGCCGGCAATCACTTCAAAAATATTGAAGTGGTTCCCCTTCAAATATTATTGTCCACTCCTAATCTAGGTCCTTTCTGATCGATGTTGATCTAACCTACTCTTAAACATCTCCAATAATGGAGATTCCACAGCCTCCCTAGATAATTTATAGCAGTGCTTGACAAGAAAATTTTCCTAATGTTCAGCCTAAACCTCCTCTGCAACAATTGAAGCCCAGTGCTTCTTGTCTATTAGAGGAAGGAGAAGAATTCTTCTCCATAACCTCTATGTAACATGAGAAGAAGAGGGAAAAGAAAAAAATGGGCATGAAAGGGAAAAAGGGAAGGGAGAGATCAAGAGAAATGATATTGGAGAGAAGGGGGTTATCTAGAAATTCAAGCAAGCATTATAAAATCTTTTCATAAAATGGACCACATCTCAGAGAGCAAGTCTCATAGGATACCCACACTCACCATGACACAAACATCGTCCCTTGGATCTCTTGGATATCCCTGCTCTCTTCTCTCTCCTACAATTGAGACACATCTCTGGGGGAATTACAGTACTGCAACATGGAAAATACTCAATGTATATTTTAAGCTCTCTTTTAATGACATATAATAGTTGAGCACAAGGAACTAAGCCACTATCATATGAGTAAGCTGCTCTCCACAAGTTCAGAATGAGAACAGCTGAGAGAGATAATTATTAACATAGGGAAAGGAGAGGTGAAAGATAATAGTGAAAGAGTGGAGAAAGGCAATAAGAAGAAACTCCCACTCAGGCCAATACTGAGACATATGAGAAAGGAAATGGATATACAAATAGGCTTCACACAGTACTGACAAACATGTAGGCAAGTGGCTGGATATGAAGCTTGTTAAATTTTTTTAATTCTTTGTAATACTTCTGTGTCTCAGGTTGTGTGTGTGTTTCCTAAAGATTTTCCATCTGAGGAGTCCCAGGGTTGTTTGGAAATTGAATTCTTTATCTTGCTATCTGTAGAAGTATTATACAGCTACGGTCAAACAGTCATAGAATCTGTAATATTATTCTATAAGAACAAAAATCAGTTTTGCCCCCACTTTCAGTTTATATAACAATGCAGACACAGAAAAATACATTTATAGAGTACCTTATAGTCTCAGGTATAAGGGGTATCTCAAAGCACTTCAGAAACAGCACAACCCAACCCTGCTATCACCAAGAAAGAGCAGGTAGCCCTTATTGCAGAAAATGAATCAGTTATTTCATCTCAGGTCACCCCTTAACCCAGATTCTAAATAGTCTGAATTCTATTTAAGAAAACAAAATCATACCATTTCCCCTCTTATTTCAGATTTCAACTTACTCCCCATCTGACTACCGAACATCATGAAGGTAGATATCACCACCTAGTGTTTAAATAGGATTACAGCAGAGAAACTTAAAGAATTAACACACAAGGTGGGGAACTTAAGGCCTGGATCTAGTCTCAGAGGCTCTGGGCTTCCCCCGTCCCTGCCAGCATCATCAGCATTGGTTTCCTGCTGCAAGGGGGCAGAGCCCCAAGCTGCAGTTAGGCAAGCCGGGGCCAGATGCTAGGATCAGCAGGACAGGAAGCGGATCCATGCCACTCCTATCCCTCCTACCTTAGATGATACAGAAAAGCGCTGCCTGGAGCTTTGCCCCCCCACTGTTCCAACTGGCCATAATCACAGCCAGTAGGAGCAGCAGGGGACACGGAGCCACCCGCATCCCTGGGGCACCACACTAGGTAAGCGCACCCACCCCCATTGCTCAGATCCCACATCCTCACCCTGCTCCTGCATTCCCTCCTTGCCAGACTCCCAACCCTCGCCTACTCCTGCACTCTACCTGTTGCCCAGACCATGCGCGTCCACTTTGCTCCTGCACCCTACCTCCCACTCTACCCTGCCACCCCCAATCTCCAGCCTGCTCCTGGCACCTCCCTCCATCCCAGACTCCACCCCCAGCCCACTCCTGAAAATGGGCACTAAAGAAAAGATGGGAGCTATAAAAGAAAAAAATAAGATGTGTGCCTATATACATGTATGCTTTTATCGTGAATACAGTAGTTAAGCATTTTTACTTAAAATAAGTTGATATAATACTAGCTTGAATGGCATATTCCAGCAGGAGGACAAAAGTTGCAGAAAAAGTCAGCACTAGGAAAGCTCCCCTAAATTAGCAAGTCTTGAAGAGATTTTGAAGTGTCAGAGTTACGTTGCTTTGTACACAGAATTGGGGAGGATATTCTGGATGAAGAGGCTGGTATAAGTAGAATCACCGAGTCCCACATAGAAGACAGAGAACTGTCAATTTACATTGATTTGGTAGAGCACAGGGTGCCAGCTGGGACATGGTAGATGAGATGCAAATAGAAATAGAGCTTAAAGGGCAAGAATGAAATGTTTAATATTTGATGGTGAAAAGAGACCAGAAATCTACACAGGGTTTCAAACATGAGGAATGATATAACTGAAGCCATGAGCAAAAACATTAGTTACATCATGATGGATAGACTTGTAGGCAACAATTAGAGAATCAAGCAGGCCAGAAGAGGGGTCTCCAGCCAAGAAATGACTACAGATTAATCCAAAAATGTTAATAGTAGGGACAGACACCCTCCCCCCAAGACACTATAATAACTGGCAGGATTTAGCAACAGCTTGGATGTTGATGCAAAAAAAAAAAGAAAGGTGATTAAAATAAAAAGATACCAAAGCTGTGGGTGTGGATAACAGCAGAGAAAATCGTGAATTATTAACAGTGATACCAAAGGACAGGAAAGGAGAGCAGGACTTCATTTATGTTATGTTTGTATGAGGTGGAAGCTGGACATCCATCCTGGAAATGCCGCTGGAGCGAGAGTTTCATTTGCAGGACTGAAGAGATGGGGAAGAGATAGATTCAGAAGTAGTCAGAAATGATGAGGCAATGACAAGCCATGAAAGCAGATGGTTTGCTAGAAAAGTATGCAAAGGCAAAGAAAAGGGTGTCGAGAACAGAGGAGAAAAATTCCATTTGCTATCTGATGGCTACTTTGTGGCCTCTGTGAAAGAAGTTGAAAGATTCCTGTCCATGTCATAAAATTATTATCCCAGAGACAGACTGAAACTGGTCTTCCATTATCTCTTAAAGAGCAAAAAATATTTGAAAGAATTAAAAAGAAAATGAAAAACTGGAAAAGAAAGATTGCAGGTGTGTGACATGTGCATGAAACACAATATCAACTGTAAAGTAAATTATTGAGAACAAGGTCTGTTTGCCTTTTGTCAAAGAAGGTCAGTGGTTAAACCTAGCAGATTATATAATTGGTGGGCAGAAATATTCTGTAGATGTGAAATACTGGGGCTCTTGTACATTTCAAAGGCGGAATGTGGAAGTGCTTATCGACTAGTCAAGTAGTTGATAGAAATTCTAGGTGACGCCGGGCGCCATGCGGCGCTGCCACTTTGAAATGGCGGGTGGAGCCTGGAGTCTGATACAGGCAGCGGGGCGGGGAGGGGGGAGAGGGAGGAGAGAAGAGCGACTAGTCAACTATCCTGTTGACTGTCTGATAAGCATTTGCTTATTGGATAGTTGACTAATCGACTAGTTCTTTACATCCCTACCCCGTAGTCTCACTCCGGTTCTGCAGCTCCTCGGGGAGCACCTCTCAGCCTGGCTGCCACTGTTTAGTCTGGTTGTCCTTCCTCCCCAGGAGCTCCTTCAGCCCCTCCTTTCCATTCAACAGCTGCTCCAGAGACTTTTATAGTCAGTCTCCAGTTGCCCAGCAGGGCCGTGGGGGGAGGGGGTCTCAGCCAGCTGTGCCAAGGTCACTCCACCATCTACAGTGCAGGGTTGATACAGTTTTATTTGCTATGTAGCCCTGTAACTGTGTGTAACACAATACTGGAGTAAGACAAAGTTGATTTTACCAATGAAAGCTCATGATAGAATACATTTGTTAGTCTCAAAGGTGCCACGGGATTGTTTGTTATTCATAAATGTTATTAGATAAATGTCTATCGGGGCGGGGAGGGGAGGATGGTCTAGACAGGACTGGGTCCTGCCATGAGGGCAGGGGACTGGACTCTATGACCTCTCGAGGTCCCTTCCAGTGCTAGTATTCTATGATTCATAAGAGCAAAAGTTCACCCCAGATCTTTCCAGGGTATTACAGGCAGAGCTGGCTGTAATCTGTAGATGAAACAAATTTTCTGTCTTCTTTTCTTTTCAATGAAATGATGTTAATTTTGCCTCAGACCTTGCCAACACTCAGAGATAAGGTCGAATTTATTAGTACCCAAGTCGAAGCATGTCCCCACTGTCCACAAGATTTTGACACAGTTCGAAGTAGCATGTCCCCAGTAAAGTGACTACTGTTGACTTTGAGAGTGATGAACTATGGGTCGCTATCCCACAGTTCCTGTGCCTCTGAATTCTAAGTTAAAACTGTACAGTCAGTGGTTCTGGATACATATCAGCATCCCATAATGCACTCTTATCCTGCTCCCTCCCCCCCCACCCCACTTGAAAGCAAACATCAAACAGTTTTTTGGTGCTCTTTTTCCCCTGCTATCTACACAGACGCCATAGAAGTGTAAACATTGAAGCCATCATGAATCTAATTGAGCATCAAAGCATTATGGCAATCACATTAACCATGGTGAGCCTTATGCTGGAGTATATCTAGTGTGTATTCAGGGTTTGCTGGAATGAGGAAGAATCTTGAGAGGCCATGAACATAGACTTTTGCAAAGCACTTCAGTTGAGAGAGTGGCAAATGCCATCAGCATTCAATCTTCTGGACACAGTGGAATGCCATTTCTGGCACTGTGAAACAATCACAGATTGGTGGGACCACATAGTGATGCAGCTATGGACTGATCAGCAATGGCTGCCAAACTTTTGTGTGGGTAAAGCCATTTTCATGGAAGTTTATGAATTGTTTTCCCCCATTCTAAAGTGCAAGAATACCAGAATGAGACTCCCTCTGGACAGTGAAGAAGTGGCAATTGCCCTGTGGAAGCTTGCAACTGAAATAGACATTAATGGCTCTTAAAGTTGACAGAACGGGCTTGGTGGTATGGATTCATTGCTTTGAAAATCGACCTAATGCAGCTAAGTTCAACCTAAACTCCCAGGGTACTGTCTTGACAGTTATAGTCCAGATATCCATTGTGTGCACTTCTAAACTGGATAACCCCTACTGCTCGCATTTTTCTGTCCAGGGTCTCCTCTGGAGACTTTGCAATCATTTGACTAGTGTTTTGCTCAGATTGTACATGAATTCCCACTGCAAACCAAATGATACTTCAATGTACATGTGGATAGACATACACAAACTGCTTTACCCTGAAATAAACCTATTTCCCCCTTTTCTGGTGATCAGTCCTAAGTCACAGTAATGAAGAACATAATTTTCACTGTATATACATAAGCACTACTTTTTTGTGACGGTACTGCCTGGTACTCAGTACCGGCACCTCCAGATGCAGTGAGAGTGAGAGACAGAGACAGAGACAAAGACAGAGACACAGTGTGCGTGTGTCAGTCAATGATTATGACATCAGAAACCGTATGATGCTTTTTGGTGACCTAATATATATTTATACCAGACCCAGGTATGGATTCCTATGCTGTGCCCTCTGCAGTCTGGCAGCAACAGGTCTCTAGATCACAATACAGAAAAGAAAATCCAAAAACCTCCAGGTAAGACATACAACGCAACAACATTTTGGTTCTGCCACCTACAATATAGTTTGAGCTTTGTATGTCCAGAGACAGTCTGAATCTCCATTTCTAGAAAGATAAATTGAGAATGACAGCTACTGATAGGCAGGCAAAAGCAAGAGGATTAAAAGGCTTTTGCAATCTGCAAAAATGGAGTAATTAGCAACTGACATTTCTAACAGTAACACTCCATTTCCTCTTGCCAAGTTTATATGGCTCTTTGTCTCTGGAAAATGGCAGTAAAAATTGGAAAGAATGAGGAGGCTTCTCCCAAGATCCCTTTTCCATCCAGCACCTGCCAGCAACAAATATTTAATCATGTGGTAAATTGCATTTTTAATTTATTTTTTTTATGAACATACACTAGATGGTGCTACACCCACAGCTATATCTCTGATTACTGATAGGAGGTTCAGACAGAAGAGGAAGAGAAAGAAAAGAACATGAATACACAGTGAACAGAACAAAGAATGAAGCAAGTAGGGATGTAAGATCCTGTTTAATCAAGTTAACTGGTTAAATGTTATGTTTGACATGTTAACTGCTTAAATAGGGGGCAGGCATGGTATGCTGCTCTGGCCAGGCCGGGCCCCGTGTGGGTGGGGGCTGCTCCTGCCCAGCAAGGCCAGGCCACCGGTTAACCAGTTAACAGTAGATGTCCCTAAAAGCAAGTAGAGAAAACATATACGTGATAACAGAGTATCCCTTTCCTGCTATAAAATGTTGGGTCTGTTATCCAGAAGCCATTACAGGTTGAACATCTAGTCTGGCATCTTCGGGACCTACCAGTGCCGAACCAGAGAACTTGCCAAACCACGGGAGGTCAGTATTGTCTAGCAGCATAACTAACACTTCCACTGCTTACTGGGGTCTTAAAATGACATTCAGGGATAAATTAGATCTAAATAACAGCCCAGAACACTGAGGAACAGGACTGGTGGCTGTAAACAAACTTTATGGTACTGGTTCCCAATCTTTTTTATACCATGGACCGGCAAACCAATTCACAAACTTTTAGCAGACCAGTATCATTTTATTTGCATGTGTGTGTATTCATTATTATTTGCATGTGTGTGTTCAAATAAATATGCAGATAAAAGGTTACCTGTCCACCTAGCCCTAACCCAGCCCCTCCCCAGTGCCTAACACCCTTTGACCCAAATCCCTATGCCTTATGCCCTTTGACCCTTTCATCTCTGACCCCTACAGATCATGCCAACACCCTTTTGCCCCATGACCCCACCACACCCTCACCCAACACCCCTTTGAACTCTGACCCCACTTCAGTCCTGCACTCCCCAGAGCGAGGCTGTGACTGCTGCATGGGCAGGGGGAGTGCCTGCCTGTTGGGTTGCCAGACACGCTTAGGGTTGCCAGATAGACACCTGGTATTTTTTGGTCGAGCAAAAAAACAAAACAAAACAAAAAGAATGCAGAATAAGCGGCGATTGTAACTCCACCCGATTTTTTTTTTTAAACTGGGCAGAGGGCTCAAATATAGGACTGTCCGGTAGGATACCGGACACCTGGCAACCCTACACACGTGCTCTCCCTTCCTTTGTGCCCCCTTCCTTCCCAAGCACATCTTGTGTCCCCATGGGGAAGAGGGGGAAGGGAGGGAGAGTGCAGAGTCCCAGCCAGGCCACCATTACTGAGGGGGGAGGTGCCTCCTACCCCCCCCCGCAGCTCCACCTTCTCCTGTCACTGCCTCAGGCCCAGTGAAAAAAAGTTAGCCAACATGGCTGCTGCCAGCAGCCCAGCCAGCTGGTCTGCGGACCGGCAGTAGGGAACTGATGCTTTATGGGACTGTGGGAAGCTTGACCATACCCATGATAAGTGGAAATGTGGCTAAATAAAAATCATGCCAGACCACAGATGTTGCCAGACCAGAGTGGTTCAACCTGAACCATCACTGAAATCTAATTTTGCCATCATATTTACTTGCATTAGTCATACCCACATTACAATGCTGTCAGGAGAAAATATAACTCACAAACATCCCACTCTCCCTACCTCTAATATCATCAATTCACAGACACTTACCTTCCTTCCTCCCCCTTCCCACCCCCCCGCCTCCTCCTTCTGTTCTGCAATGTGATTTGTCCTTTTCATATTTGTTCTTTTTTTTAATTGTATCCTTTGGTATATATGGTTGTGACTACTTTCTTCCACTATTTGATCTGAGGAAGTGGGTCTGGCCCACGAAAGCTCATCATCTAATAAACCATCTTGTTAGTCTTTAAAGTGCTACATTGTCCTGCATTTTGCTTCAACTACCCCAGACTAACACGGCTACATTTCTATCAATATAATTAAGGCAGCATTGAACTTTTCAGAGAAAGCTTAATTGAAACTTTCTTTACATATTTCAGTGACAATTACATTTTCAAATTTAATACGATTGCTGTTTACAGGATAAACTAGCTATACTGTAACTTTTTTGTATAAAACCTTTTTTGTAGGCTTCCCCGTCCCCCCAAAGAAAGTTTTAAAAATTCTGTTTCAGTTTGGCTTTGGCAGTCTCACTACAGCTAAACACTCAGCAGACATTCAAAACTTCATACACACACACTTTTTATATAGAACTCCACATTTTAGTTAGCCTCCTTGTCTCTCTGAAATTCTGAAGGTAATAATTTATCTATCTTAGACCTGCACATAGCACCCATCATTATAGGATTTATGCACCTCAGTCCTAATTCAATAAAGCACTTCAAAACATCCTTAACTCCATCCGAGTTGTCAACCTCCAACTTTTTTTCCTCCCCTAAATGAAAACAGTAATTAGGTACAAATACTTCCAGGATCTGACACTTTAAGCAACAACTAATATTTTTAGATTTATGATCAAGTCTCACAAGTTAGTAACAGTGGATGCATAAAGCTAAGCATATGCTTAAGTATATCGGTGAACTGGGCCTGAGCACACACCTCAAAGTGAAACTGGAGAAATTCTGCCTCCTCAGTTGAGAACACATTGCATAACAGTTAAAATATCAGATATAGTAAAAGAGCTTCTAACGACAGCTCAAATAGAATGTAATTCAAGAGTTTGAATGACTGAATTAAAAATTATGCCATAAACCTAAAATGGGGAAAGAAACATCAAACATTGCACAAGGAGAGAAGCCAAAAAATTTAACATGTTTGCGTATTAATGCTCTTGAAATTATAGATCTGATGCTGGTCCTAGGCCAATCAGACATCAACAACGGGTCTCTTCACTTGCTCTTTTTTCCCCTCCACCCAAACCAGGCTCCAGCATATGTTCCAATTCTTTTTAGCCACTTCTGTTGCATGGAAGAAAAGGGTAAAAGACAAAAATCAGAAAAAAAAAAATCAAACAAATGCTAAAGGAAAGAACAGCTGAGTGAGTGTAGCCAGACACGAACCCCATCTGTTCCCCCTCCCCCCCCAGAGAGCAAGAGAAAGGCGGTCAGCCTTTGATGCCCTGGGAACGCAGGTGTGCTGCCTGTCCCTGACTCTACCATAAACAGAAACCAGACAGTAAATGGGCTAGCTGACGACCCGGGGCCTCCCGCCATCCGGATGGCTAGTACCAGTAATTGACACGCCTGCACTGTCCCAGGAGAGGAATCTTCGCCCATCACATACCAGAAGTGCCCATTGTCTGCATTTTCCCAGGTGTGAATTATGCTTTGCACCCTTCATGGGAAACTTGGCATTCAAAGCCATTTTTCCTAATTGGCCACTTGAGACCAGGAAGAAGCCTACGTGACCCAAAGGGTATAAAGAGGGGTATAGTAGCCCACCGCATTTGAGCTCCAATCATCTATACCTGCTGGCAGGTATTGATTGTCTCCCGAGGTCTGTGGGACGCCCAACCTCGCCCTACTTCTTCCCAAGGGATTGAGAGAAAGATGCTGGCCACGCCAAGTCTGGAACGCAGGGGTGAGAATATATACCTGCTATGTGTCTATTTTGCATGCATTTAATAAGAGCTCAGAGAACCAAAAGGGTTTCATGGTACCTGTAAGTGACTTCTTAGTGTAATTTCTGTCCTGTCCTTTGTAGTGTCTGTGTTATCTGTAACACAGTAGTAGCATTTAACAACTAAGTTTACCCTGTAACAATAAATAGTAACTGTTTAAGCTTTAACCTGACTCCTTCAGTTGCTGTAACAGAACCAAGCACAATTTAAAAGAACTTCAGCCGGTCATAAGGGACTCACTGCCCTGACCGTCAGCTGACAGTGAGAGAATCAGAAAAAGAAAAGCTAATTCTATAACTAACTACTGAGGTTAGATCTTCACTGCACCATTACATTATTAACTGATGTACACTATTACATTATTCACCACTTGCATCAGTTGTACGGTTTTAAAATTGGATTTTCTGTAGATAGAGAGGATGTGATTAAGAAAGTAACCTGGTGCCCAACAAAACAAGCTTATCAACACATGGCTACTATCCCAAATACTATGCTATAAAATCACACTGGACAAGTGACAGAATGTAAGTACACTTAAGGCAGAATGGTTCCATTGTTCC